CTCGGAGGCGGCGGGTAGCTGACGACAACAGTGTCTCCAGCTCCAGCTGCAGGGTATCCAGCTCTTCGATGCCGATCCCATCATCCTCTGAGCGGCCCAGCACAGCAGTGTAGCGGGGGCATACCTTGACATGCTCCACGGGCTTAAAGTCGTAGTATTTCAGTGGGGGGCAGTCCTTCAGCTCACTCATGATGTATTGCAGCAAAGACCTGACAGTGATTTTACTGGCATAAGACAAAGTACTCATTAGATTATCAGACTGACATACAATGTGAGTCCAGCTCTGTGCCTGTAGCTCTCACACACAAATTCAGAAACACTTACGTACGGCCGCACGTACAGTCGGGACTGCTTTAAAGAGCGCAGGCTCGCTGGGCCCGAAATGCTGGAGAATACGTTTAAATTCTAACAAGGCTTTCTTTTATATTCACGATTTGTGCACAGACGCTTTAAATATGGGCGTTTTAAACCCACACCACACAAATATAGCGCACAAATTATAATGTGTATAATATTTTAGAGCAGCGATAGTTACCTTCACTGAATGGCGTCCATGATGGGTGAAACCATTGTGGTAAGAGGGGGGTGTGTGTGAAAATTATTCACCTAAAATGATGTCCCATTTTATATATAATGACGATTCTGAGGAGAAAAAATAAGATAGTTAAATTTTTACAAAACCTAACCAGGCATTTTAAGTCGTAAAAGCAACTTAAAAAGTGGCAAGTCTGAGAATACAGAGTCTGGAGACTTGGCGCTTCATAGAGCCTGTTGAGTAGTCTATCACAATGGTATCATCGGATGATACCAAATCTAGGCGTATTAAAAATATTTGCTGCCAAGCTTTTAATTTGGAAGTTAGACAGTATAGTTTGTGTACGTTAATCTTGATAATTGACATCTAACTATGAAAACCATATAAGGTAAAAATAAAAACTCGTGAGACAACAGCCGTTGTCCCCTCTTCATAGTGCAGAATGGGAACACCCTAGGGTGTGCTCGTTTTACGAAAAATACACTCCACCTGGGCGGAGAAATAAACGCGAACCGTGACATTTACGCTGGGTGGGTAAAAACGATTCATTAGACTAACCCTTGCATCAAAACGAACACACCATAGATTTTCTCGACTATGTAGGATTTACGGAAGAGTCGTCCCAGGCGTGGCTGAGGAACTTCCGTCTTTTACAGCTCAAAAATGGTAAGTCTCCAGCACAACACTCAGCTTTATATTTAATTATTTAGCCAATTACCCCAAGTAACTACTGCCATATTTAACTTAAGATTAGCTAGCTGGCTGTGTGTTCCTTGTAGACGTGGTTTCTGGTTGACTGCAGCAAAATAAGATTACGGGCATCCTTGATACGGTTTGCAGAAACAGATTGACTGAGCTGTCTTTTCCTCTCGTTTCCTTTTCTGCTCGTTTCTGTGACCTGTAGCTTCACCACAGTTTGTCCTTAAACCGTGGAAAAGCGACGTATATAGCTGGCATAAACACAGTAAATAATTTGGATGAGCTGCAGTGTCGATCACCTGAAGGCATCACATCCTCTTCTGCATTCATATCGCAGATAGATCTACACGTAGCTACGTAGCATTAGTAGATACTTGTTCATTCTGCCTGTGATAACAGATAGCTGTCAAGTGAGACTTGCACACGGATTATTGTCATGCGTAGCCTTAAACACAAGTCCCTGCTGGGCGATTTACCTTTATTCAACTGGAAGGATCTCATTGCATGTGCCCGAATCCTCCCAGGTATTGACTTTTTATTACTTTTCTCTTCAGACAGCGACTCTGCGCCCCTACTTAAACGCTGTGAGGGCCACCTTGCAGGCAGCCCTATGTCTGGAGAACTTCTCCTCTCAGGTGGTGGAGCGCCACAACAAGCCAGAGGTGGAGGTCAGGTATGTTTAGCAGCACTCAATTGAGTCTCACTGGTTTGTCCCCTGCTGCTTCCCACCCTATGCTTCCTCATGTTTCTCCTGCCCTAAAGATGTGTGTATTATGATCAGCTGCTGGTAGACGAGTTCAGTCATGTGCAAACTTGCATAAGAAAATCAAGGAGGGAAGAAAAATGGCTACAAGCAAGGGCAAGGCTTTAAAGTTGGACTGAAGGGACTTGCCTCAGCTTGTTCGCAGGTGTCCTCCCTGTTCAGTGTTGCGGGGTCTCGAGCATAACGTTGAGTTTTACTGTGTTTAGAAGGACTGTTTTTGCTGTTGTTACAGGAGCAGTAAGGAGCTGCTGCTTCAGCCGGTGGTGATCAGCCGTAATGACAAGGAGAAGGTTCTCATCGAGGGATCCATCAACTCCGTCAGAGTCAGTATTGCTGTCAAGCAGGTCAGTAGAGCTAGAATGGCTTTAACTTTTATTGTGGTTATGAATTTCCAGAATATTCTAACGCTCTTTAAAAACTACTATGATTGACTGCAGGCCGATGAGATCGAGAAGATCCTTTGCCACAAGTTTATGCGCTTCATGATGATGAGAGCAGAGAACTTCTTCATTCTGCGGAGGAAGCCAGTAGAGGTAAGAGACAGCGAGTGACAAAAGAGAAATCAGTACTTATTAACAGTATCAGAGGAAGAATACCACGTACAAAACGAGGAAGTGTGGGAGCTAAATGAGTCATAAAGGTCTTCATGCATGCATGTTTTAGAAACATCATACAGACAGTAAACACCTCAATAAAGAAGATCCAGAAGAGGGTTGGTGCAGCAGGGGAGGATGTTAGGGATGGGGGGGTTGGAGGCAGATGATCCGCTGTGTTGACCCCTAAAGGGAGCAAGCAAAAGAAGGAAACAACATTAAATATCTCAGTATTTACACTAGCTTTAATGCAGTAACACAAATGGTGTCTTTTATTTTTTCCGCTCTTATTTTAGGGATATGATATTAGCTTCTTGATTACCAACTTCCACACGGAGCAGATGTACAAACACAAGTTGGTGGACTTTGTCATCCACTTCATGGAGGAGATCGACAAGGAGATCAGTGAGATGAAACTTTCGGTTAATGCCAGGGCCCGTATCGTTGCCGAAGAATTCCTCAAGAATGTAAGTAACTTGTTCGCTTCCTGCAGCGGCTCCGCTTTTATTATTGCCTCGTGTTAATTTGATTCTCTTGTCTTTACAGTTCTGATGGAAGTGTTAGTGTTTCCCCCGTGCCACCCTGGGAATGTTCCAACTGCCACTCGGCACAAGAGTGGAGAGTTAAAGGAGTAAGCAGCCGACCCGAGAGGAGAGGAACGTGACCAATCTGGCTTTGATGCCCTTTATTTACCCTTTACACCCGAGTGTCTTCCTGTACTCATGAATATCAATGACTGTACATAATGAAATATTTACAGTTTCATTTTCAGCCACTTAGAACAAATCCCCAAACAAAGGCGGGTCCTTAAAGTATTAATCAAGTTGATAACCATGAGTACAGGAGCACTGAGGCTGTGCTGTTCCAAATAAAACTCAGAAGAATTTTGTATTTTTTTGTGTTCTGTCGCTGTCGTTTTAAATTGTCTCCAAATTTTCTCTGTTCAGGACATACTTGTTTGTGGAAGTGTTAAGTCAAACGTAGAAAGAGCTCACTGTAAAGAAACTGCCATCAGTCATGCAAGAAGATACGGAAATATAATAATAAAACTCAGTTGTTTATACCTGTTTGTGTTTGAAAGCTGACGTTTTTGCTGCACTGTTGCTGTTCCTATAAATGGATTTGCTCTGTTTCAGAGGAAGTTGTTCTGAGCCTGCCCTTTAACCACATTTTGCCTTATGCGTGCGTAACTGCTGTGCGCCGTTTCAGCCGCCAGGAAGGGGAAGTGCAGGCAGGGTGTGAGTCGCTGCGTCTGACGGTGTTTGTTCACATTCACAACTTAATCCGAATCGTTCGATCCAAATCAAGACTTGAGTGTGCTGTGAAGAAAGCACCATTTTCACAATAACCTTAAGTATTTCTTAAAAAAAAAAAAAAAAATCCACTTTAATTTGAGCAGCTGTACTTACTACACGCACACATGCTTCACAAAAGTTGTGACTCGTGGAGGCTGATACTGCCGTCACACGCAGGGAGGAAGAGATTTGTGTTTCTGTCCTGGCTCGAAGAGGACGCAGCCAAATTAACTTTACAATAATGGCAAGATAGCTTTGCAACTTCCTAAGTTTCCATTGTGATACCATGGTTCATGCATTTGACTGTACAGTACTGTGCATAAGTGTTAAATCACCCCATATTTATATTTTGCTAAGAAAGTAGGAAATGCAGCAATTGATTGGAAGGTATAAACGCACATAGAAATACTTTTTTAAAGGCAGAACAGCTTGTAAGTCAACATTTGATTTGATCACCGTTATTCTTAATCACAGCCTGATGTCTTTTAGGTAAGCTCTCTTGTCATTTTTTTAATGAGTCTTCAGAAATAGTTCTGCAGGCTTCTTGAAGGACATCAAAGATGATCCCACACTGCTCAATGTTGATAATCAGATTATCTTCAGATGGTATTTCCTGGTTGATCAAAATCTGATTAATCTGTTTAAAATCCCATCAATTTTAACAAGATTTCTAAAACCACTGGCTGAAATGCAACCCTACACCATGACAGCCCCTCCACAGTGTTTTACAGATGGTTGTAGCCACTCACTGTTGGACCTCTCTCCTAAACACCTCCGTACATATTGACGATTTGATGTTTTTGATTTGGCTCCCTCACTCCTGGAGACCTGTTGCCACTGATTTTCAGTCCAGTTGAAAATCAGTTTCCTTAAAAATTTTAAGCACACACTGCACAGCATGTTGGCCACACAGAAAGGCCCCGTCCAGATGATGGAGTCAACCTTAGGACCTTCTTGCTGTGAGGCAACAGTGCTAACCACCGCGCCGCCCACAAATAATCCCATTATCAAGAAATAACCACAACACGAACAGTACTGCACAAAACCCTCATAAAGAAACCCATCACAAGGTATGCAGTCACAAAAATCTCAAGTGAGAAGACAGATTGGAGTGGTTGGCTTAAAAAAATAACATCTTTATTATTGTGTAGTTGGGATGTACATTTTTTTAAAATCTTAACCCACAACACCAACTTCAAGCTAATATTGTGTTCTTTTTTTCTGTTTTGCATGTTTAATGCTCTGATGTGTTCTCCACAGAAATGAGTGAAAGCATGTGAGTGTATTTCACTGAAGGCCCGTGTGTGGAATCATCATTTACATAAAACATCAGTTTCAGCTGACACTGTACAAGCAGATACAGTACACCACATAGCTAAGGAAAGCTATTACACCAGCCAGCCCTACAAAATGAAATGGCTACTTGTTTACCATTAAAAATGAACGACCCAGTCCTTTAATCTCTTACTGAATCAGCACTTTAAAAATAGTAAGCTGTTGTCCGAGTAGGTTTGCAGCCTACAAATTGCACATTATCACTGAATACAGCTTCACATCCGATGATGATTGCACGTTACAGTTGCATATCAAAAACATGGAGCGGAAAAAAAAAAATCACAGGGTTAATACTTCAAGACACAAAACAGTAACTTTCAGTGTTAGTGCTACTGCTGCGCAAAATCAACACAATGAAACCACACTGAGTACAGTAACAGGCAGACAGGAATCTGCTGTGTGAGCCAAGCGTTTAACTCCCTGCTGTGCAAGACAATACTTTGATTCATAAATAATTTGGAACAGCGATGCCGAGGGCCCGCTGAACACTGAGGCCCGGACACTCGCAAGTTCCTCAAAAAAATATGCTTAAACAAGGGGTAACAGAGAAATGTGTGCGTGTGTATGGCGCTGGTGGAGGAGGAAGAAGGAGACACATTAACCTGCTGGTCACCAGTGTGAGGAGGTTGTGCACATTTGGAAAGGTGGAAAAAAAAGGAAGAAAAAGGAGGAAGGGGAAAGGTCCAGCTTTCAGCATCACCGGGTTCCAGCCAGCAGAGGTATCAGAGATGAGGAGGGACGGTCTGCAAGGCGTCTTCAGCCGTACGTTGGACGTTCACGTTCTGGAAGAAGGAATGCAGCAGCGTCAGTGTCCTGAGTGAATATACATCAACACAAGCCCACTTTTATCACAAGTCACCAAAACAAGGACTCTTCTTTTACTGGGGTGAAAAAAAAAAAGAGCCTTTTTTTCTCTCTGTCAGTGGATGTTAATGCTTTTGTCTGCTGCTGCTGCTGCGACTTCTTCCATCAGTTTTCCATCCACGACTTTTTGCATTTCTTTTGCCCAAGGCACCATCTGGAGAGCCCCATCACCATGACAGTCACTGGCATGAGCAGACTGCCAAGTAATTGGTGTCTGGAAGTTGGTAACTACATGTTTCTCTAAACCTCACAGCAGCACCTGAGACTAACCTAAAATGCTTGTTACTACTTTTTCTTTACTTTAAATGTGATTTTTTTTTTTAAAAATTTCCTCTTATTTTGTTTAATTTTAATCAGAGAGCCTTGTTAAGTCAGTGCAGACAGAAATCTGTGACTGGCACAGTGAGCGTTTTGTTTAGCTGTTTGCTATTCACCCCAGTGGAGTCTTTGCATATGAATGACCAGGAGAAATCTCAGTCTCCTGGTTTGCACTGCACTGAACGTTTCATGTGTACACAGAAGAAGATACGAAGGAAATTCCAGCGTTTGTTTGATCTCCCTCTGATATCAGTAAGAAACACCCAAGTCAGCTTTCCACACCCATTTTAAGTCTTTGACAATTCATTAATATCAAACAGTGAAGCAGATTCATGCCATGCTTTCTAAAATGAAGCACAAAAAGAGTGTGATAAAGATACATGATATGGAAGTGTAGTTTATTTAAAAACAGTCAACAGAAATAGCTTCCTCTTAGTTCTGATCAGTAACGTGAAAAACACTGTGAGAGTCTTCACATTGTTTCACAAGAAAAGTGTAATTTCATATTTCCAGCATTTTCATTAGACAGTGTTAGGACATCTTAACAAATTAAGCAGGAGCTTATGTGCAAGAGTTTATGTGCAAATATAGAGAAACTGCACCACTTGGCTACGTCACAAAGCGCTAACCTTAAGAGTTTCCTGACTGCTATCTACAAACATATAAAGTGATGGCACACCGTTAAAAGTTAACGTGGTTAAAAATCAGTTCAACAGACAGAATCAAATAAACAACGTGTTCACTGACTGCACTTCAGAAGGTGCTGGAGTGTCACTGTTTCACAGTCGGGAGTACAGCATCAGCTCAAAAACACCTTCATTTGATTGTTTTGTTTTTTTATTCATTCTCCAAAAATAGGAGAATGAGCTTGTCACAAGGTCCGTGACAGGATTAATAAATGAAAAATTACAAACTGGATTCCAGTCGATTACCACCATCATCACGTCTTATTATTACAAGAGAAGGAAGAACAGAAGACATGAAGAGTGGAAAGAGACTCAGTCAGGGATTTTTTTTTCCTGAAGGTACACTGTGCATCTGAAGGGTTCTGTGTGGGTAATGAAGGACTAAAGGAGGGGGGAGGGTTGGGGGTGTTGGGAGGGGAGGGTACTGCCTCACTGGTGAGATGGCACTGTTAGCAAAGCTTCCTCTGACATCCGCGACACGTCTACGTTCTGTTTGATAAAAAAAACAGACAAAAAGGAGGAGGGATCAAAACACAAGGGAGACATGAAATCCACTGGGCACACACCATGTCAACGACTTGGAATAATGCATCACGTTTAAGGTTTCAACGTTTTTTTGCCCCCACATGGATTTATTTTTCCACTTGTGTGACAGCATCAAGAAGAAATGAAAACCACTGTATGCACATATTTATGGTTTTGCCAATCTAGTGCAAAAGTTTAAAAAATAAAATAATGTAAGTGCTCAACCATAAAACACACGCAGAGCATAAAACATTCACTGTTGTAGTATTTGTTATGCAGAATTCATCGCTGTTCAGAATCAACTCCTGTTAGAAAAAATAATAATAATAAAACAGTTAAAATGGTCCACTTGGAGGACTATTTACCTAAAGGAAATGAGGGAGAATGTGAAGAGCAGTTAGTCAGTGTTTCATTAATCTGTAACCAGAGATGGGCAGTAACGTGTAATCTGATTACTTTTTTCAAGTAACGAGTAAAGGGATTACTATTGCAAAAACGGTAATTAGATTACCGTTACTTTCCCGCAAGCGCGCTGCGTTACTAAAACCGTGATTTTTTTTGCGAGAATGTCTCTTGACAATGACGTAAGCGAGTATGACGTTCGTGGCAACAGCTGTGTGCAGATCAACAGTGGATCATATATCGAGTACGGAGAGAGTATGAGCGTGCAGCGTTTAAAGCGTGGAAGTACTGACCTTATTTTGAGTTTGATTCCATAAAAAGTGACAAAAACATTAGTGTCCGTTGTGCGTGGGAAGAAAACTTCTTTTTACAGCGAAAAAAAACAAAACAAAAACCCTAAACAAGCACCGAGTGCGCTACGACGTAATGGGAAATTCACTGAGAAACTCGCGGATTCTTCAACTGACCACCGCGGCACACCTGCACCAGGGCAAACCTCCGCCTATCCTACTCCTGCTTTACAGGTGAAAATAGAGCAACAGGACTGCTGAGTCTTTGACTTTATTTATTTTCTGCTGTGTTTTACTTGCATCTATTTGAAAGACTGAGTGTAAACACAAAAAATATTTTGCAGAAAATAGGTTTAAATGTTAAACTAATTTATTCAACTCAGAGAATGGTGCAGATAATTTAATTTTTGCTTGATGCATAAAGTTAAAAGATTAAAACTAATAAAACAAGTTTTAAAAAGACACTTTTCCATTTGATTACATTTTGTATGATGGATTATGTAGAAAAAGTAGAATTGGGCTGAAAGATCTATCGCTTTATCACCTATTCAGGTTGTAAATCGTGTTTTTAAAAAGTAACTAAGTAACTAAGTAATTATTACCATTGAGATTAAGTAATCAGTAAAGTAACGGGATTACTTTTTTGGGGGAAGTAATCAGTAAGTATTTACTGATTACTTTTTTCAAATAACTTGACCAACACTGTCTGTAACCAACACAGGATCTGCCAAACGAGCCAGCTCTGCATCGATTACGAAAGCATGGAAATCAGAAAGGAGCACCACAGTGAGCGACCTTACCTGTGAGAAAGCAGGCTCTGCTGTATGTGTCTGTTTAATGTGTGCGTGTGTGTGTCATGCTACCCACCGCTGGCCTCTCTCTGTGCGTGTTCACTGCATCCACGTTTAGGCTGATGGACTCCACTTTACAGCCTAAGCGTGCAGAAAGAAGGTTTGTTTAATTAGTTTATGTGGCAGATGTATATTCAGTTTGTACATTGCACATTGGCACGACAGCGGACCTACCGTAGGCCACCGGTGTCAGCTTCAGCACCGTGTGTAGTGGGCACTTCAGATATGGAAGCTCCTCTGTATGGAAAGATGAGTTCATTAGAGCACCACCGTATAAGTACACACAGTGCTTTTCACATATTTACATTCTTTTCATAGTGGGAGCAGGTACTCGTGCATGTGCATGCTAAAGGAGTCACATGCGCACTTTTTAAAATGAATTAATAAAAGATATGATTCATCAGGTAGTAAACAAGTATTTTGTGATGAATAAAGAATGGGTCCAAATCAGTTCTCTCTGCTTTCTTTGGGGCCATCGTGGTTCAAAGAGTTGGCAGTTCGTCCTGTAACCGGAAGGTTGCCGGTTCGAGCCCCGGCTCGGACAGCCTCGGTCGTTGTGTCCTTGGGCAAGACACTTCACCTACCACCTACTGGTGATGGCCAGAGGGGCCGATGACGCGATATGGCAGCCTCGCTTCTGTCAGTCTGCCCCAGGACAGCTGTGGCTACGACTGTAGCTGCCTCCACCAGTGTGTGAATGTGAGAATGACTGAATAGTGGAATTGTAAAGCGCTTTGAGGGCCCCGAAAAGCGCTTTATAAATGCAATCCATTATTATTATTATTATTATTTTCTAGCAGATGGACTCCAACTCCATGTTCTTGGACCTGCAGTTTAGTTTGTGCCGCCTCACAACAAAGACTGCTGTCACAGGCTGCACTCATGAGAGGTTGCTAATGATATCGTGAACTATCTGGCTAACAGCAAGGTAACTTTCAAAATAACAGCGTCTGCTAGTAAACTCATCATGGATCGTTATTTTGGAGGGGTGAAAAAACCCATTAATCGCTAAATACAATATGGCAGTTTTTAATACCCCTCAAGTACAGTGTGAGTGTGAGACAGTGACACAGTGAAGAATTCTGAAGTGGAGGAATTATTGAAATAAAGGAAAAACAGAAATGAGGTCAGTCAGCCACGTACGTCTCCAACTGCTCACTTGAAAAATGAGCTTTATGCAAAACACGTCAGCGCACAAACCTCTCATCCAGCATCTTAGTTAAAAAGACTCTAACCCAACCAAGAAGGTCTGTGAGGTGCACAAAAGTTAGTCTGGCATGTGAAGCTGCGGAAGCAGCCGGGGACCGGACATGCACAATAATTCATCTATCGCTCTGCCTTCAATAGATGTGAAAATGAAACTGAGCAGATAGCTCCAGGATCTACGTGATCTACAATAAAAATGTTGTGTGTGTTTTACACTAAAATGTGTTTCCTAAAATAATTTTTCTCTTACAACTCTCAGGTTTCTTGACATTTCAGTTTGAAAACTGACCTGCTGTTTTGTCCAGAAAGTATGCCAACAGGCAGCGCAGGACAGCTTGATGACAGATGACCAGCACGTTCTCCTGCCGCTCCAGCTCCATGATGACGGGCTCCAACCGCTGCACCAGGTCCTCATAGGACTGAGTGGCACAAAACAACGGAAAAGGCAATCGTGCGAATCCCCAAAACAATATAAAAAACTGAATGTGTAAAATAAGACTTCCACTTGACATTGACACATCCTGCAGAGTAATTAATTCACAGGTGAACAGGATGACATCTGAGCAAATGGAAAATCCATACAGGCTGTGTAGACTAACATAGGCTTTAACGACATTTCCGAAAGCATGATGTCACCGCCCGACTGGGCAACCAGCTAATGCCCATATCCATCTTCCTGTTACAGATTAATGGAGAGGTAATGGAATGAACTAAAGGTGAGAAAGGACCAGCAGGCACCTCAAACCACCTGATCACATATATCTGGCACACACACACACACACACACACACAGACTAATGCTGAAGCCTTTGTTTACTGTGATTTAGTGTTAAGCCGATACTGTCTGAGAAGCTGAAGCTCATTAGCACAGAGTAGGCTGCCAGAAGCCATTAAGATAAAATTAGATCATGTTTGTGGTTATCAGAAAGAAAAAGAGCACTTCATTATGCCCACAAAGGAAAATCCTGTCTGCATTAGCAATGTTCCACATGTTAAAAAATAACCACTGACCTCTCCTTTTGGATAGCGATAGCGATATTTGTCCTGGTCTCTTAGTGCAAACTCCAGAGGGTAGTTTTTTTGGATCTCCTCATACATCAACTCCTCACACACACCCTAAAATGCACATACGGGTTCAACTTCAACACAGAAGCACAAAGAGGTAGTCAACAGTGATGTGCAGAAGCCAAGAGAGCACCACCTACAGCATCAATCTCATTCAGGACCTTCCACTGTTCATAGGGCACATTGAGGGCTTCGGCTGTCTGGATGGTTCTCTTCATCTGACTAGTCCATACCTTGAGGTCGCTAATGTTTTGCTCCTGGATGAAGTGGCTCAGCTTCTTAGCAAACTGGAGAAAGAAAAACAAAACCTTTATTTATTTTCACAATAGCTCATGCAGTCAGGAGGAAGACAGGTAAGGGTTTAGAAGACATTTTTTCTTTGATTGTAAAGTTTCGTTGTACCTCCTTCCCTCTAATCGTCAGACCCGAGTCTCCTCCGATACGACCCTTGACGTTTAGCTCGCTCTCCCCATGGCGGCACAGGTAGATGGAGCGGGGTGTGATGTGGATGTTCATGAGGTAGTAGACAATCCGGCTCTGGATGTGGTCTAACACTCTATTGACCAAGTACCGCTGACCAACGTCCATGATTTTAATGTAGGACAGATCTCTGAGGGGAGAACACAGATAAAATACAATAAGAAAATGTGTTTTTTAAGCCGGTTACTCCCATAGTTTTGCAATGGGGACACACACACCATCACCAGGTTCCACCTCACCTGTCCAGTACCTCATCCAGTGTCTCGTACGAGTTTTCATAGCACTTAATCCGCTTCATGAAATCTTCCACTGCTTCTTCTGTGTTGCAGTTGGTGTAGTCCGGGCTATCCAGTTTCACTTGCTAAAGTAGAGCAACAGCAGAGGAGTGAGCCCTGCATCTTCTAACGAGTCAAAACAGTGCCAACAAACACAGACACTCACCACTATGTTCTCCTGTATGACATCTGGGTCTTCACACACAGACTCCACAAAGAACACCTGAAGGAAGACAGAAGACAGAGTCAGTGTGACCGCCAGCAAAACCCGAACCCTCACTTTGAGCCCGCCAGGTTACCTTAAAGCCATTCTGCTCCGCAAACTCCAGGATGGTCTCCCTTCTTTCTCGGGTAGTGTTTGTTGCATCGAACACCTGTAGTAACACACACATTATATGAGCTTTTTTAGCACTGCACCCCGTATCTGAGCTGAAGAAAATATCTCAGCCTGTGTGATAATTAACACATGACCCACCGCAACCTGGCCTCCGTCTTCTGTGAGGTACTCCCGCACATCGTTCAATGCCGCTGAAGCACACTTTCTGTGAAAATCACAGACAATCGGCCATAAAATGTTACATAATTAGTGATTAAATAACTTGTTAAGGTAGCATGATGCCAAAAGCACCCTTACCTTCTGATCTTTAACCCCTCCTCGTTGTCCGGACGGAAGAACTCAAAGGACTTGTAGATCTTTACAAACTCTCTTCTGTACTGTCCAACATTAAACTCTAAAGAGAAAAAAAATGGAGGCAAAAGCTATTTATTTTAATTGCACTCAAAACACTCTCACTGGTGCTTATGCTCTTGTGCATAATTTTACTAAAATCTGACACACTCTGTTCAACTCTATGGCACATGTACCTCTGGTGGGCACTCCGATCCAGTTGAGATAGCGGGTCAGCTTCTTGGAGATGTAGGTCTTCCCTCTGGCAGGTAGGCCCACGGTAACAATGAGTGTGGGACAGTTGGTCATACATACTGAAATGAAAGAGATCAAGGAAGCTTCAGTCCGCAGCTGATCCCTTACAATACGAAAGTCAAATTTAAAAACACACAGTTACTCAATCAAGACTGTCAACAACCAGGTTTGGGGATAGATTAGGAGACTGGCTCCAAAATGCTATCTTTCATATTACACAATTTATAAAGATATAATTTGAACGTTAGATTGGCATTATCAGAATGTGTGCGCCTGCGTGGTGCTGATATCGTTCATCTTGATAAAGTCTCACCACCCTGACAACGTGGAGTGATAGACAGAAGTATAACAGAGGTCACAGTTGCTGCAAGATGTGTCGGGGGTCTTGTGAAACGGCACTTTTACTGCAACAGACATCTGGAGAAAGCCAGCACACTGAGCCACTGCGTACACAGGTGACTGGGCCAGAGAGCAGCCAACCACTGGCCACATGCTCATTATTTTAAACTCCGCTCATTCCAATAATCCTCTCCGAGTCAGGCCACAGTGAGGAGACCCTGACCGTGCTGCGGCGCGCTGGTAAAACTCAGCAGCACAGCCACACGGCGAATGAGCCGCATGACTGCGGGGATACAATTCATGTTTACAACCGGCGGTCGACACAGAGGGTCATCCCTCGGACCAGTCATTTCTCCTCGATACGAGCAGCCTTCATGTGCGGCGAGCATCATGTGAGTCCTTACATAAGCGTGCGAACCAGATGGCTGCTGCAGCAGAGAGACGTCTGACCTCTGTGAACTGTACTCCCCGCGGTAACGGCAGCTACTGCCACACAGATATTAATGCATACTGACCCAGCGCTCATTATTCACGGCGGACTGGAAGCCTCTACACACGCGCTCACGCGCACGCGGAAGAGAAAAAAGGGTTCCGGAGAAACTGTGAAGCACAACCATTGATACTCATATGACCACAAACGTTATATATTCAAGCTAACTGTTGTCGCCACGTCATACGCACCCTTCCTTTGACAAATGTGTTTTTCAGGAAGGCCGTTTTTATACGGCATCCAAATCTTCTTCAGGGGGTTTTGCGTGAGCTCCCGCGGATTTGTCGCTGCTTTGTCCTCCATTCCGTCTTGCGGTGAGGTGGAGGTTGCCGCGGCGGCAGCAGGAACACGGGGCTTCTTCCCGTGATGCTGCTCTGAAGTCGACCGGTGCTTCATCCGCGTTGGTGTGGCGGGATGGAGACGGCACGAGCGTTCTTTTCTCTCTTTCTCTGTGCCACTTGTCACGTGACCTGATCTGCCGATACCAACAACCGGCAGTTGGACGTAATGATCACAGCACAGGCGCAAAACAACTTTGTGATTAAACGTAAGTTTTATATGTTTTGCGCAACCACAAAACACAATCGTTGCATAATTACACCGATTACCCCATAACAATTAATTACGGGGACAGTATTGCTGATATCAATATTGTTAACCTATAAAAGCAGCGTATTTAACAGGGAGCAGGGTGTCATGATTTATGACATGCATCACGATCAGTTTGCAAATTATGAACACGCTTTAATGACAATTAAATCACTGTGACGTTTACTCTCCACAATGACACACCTTTCAGCTTCTCGTGTATTTTGAAACTCCAAAACGCTTTGAGTCAACTTCTGTTGTTTCACTGTGCTATAGGCGAGAAATAAAATGTATGTGACAGTGAACACAAAAAGGTTCAGGGACTTTTATAGTGCAGTATTTGAGGTCTATTTTTTCATTTCCACAAAATAAATAAATAAATAGATAAATAAATCAGTGCGCTACATACTGAACCTAGAGGATAGAAACTAGTGTAAATCCTACTGCCCTAGTTTCAATCCAGCACCAATAGCAGCATTGACATTTGCATTGTCCCACCTCTAAATAACAGTTTTAAGCTCAAAAATATTTCTGGCTGGTCTTGATTCTAATGGTCCTCTTATAATGGTCCTCAGCAGCATCTCATTGGCTTAAAGTGCTCACAGTGACATTGGGTCACTGTTGTACCAACCAACCTCTCCTAAGCTTTACATAACGAAGGGCTGCTTTGACATTCTGCCATAAATCATTTTGATACAGTTTTGAATTCATTGTTTTTTCATTAATTGCAAGGCACAGAGGCACAGAGACAGCAAAGGAGTTTCAAAACACGATTTCCACCACTGTGCTTCACAGTTGGTACTGAAGTTTGGCATCTGCCTTGCTCCACAACTTCAGCTTTCTTGTCATCATTTTTGTTGTCCACAGCATGTCCCAAAAGCAGTGCGTAACATCAGCGGAGGGAAAACTTAGACTTTGTTTCTATTGGTTTCTTTCATAGCATGCTTTCTCCAATACTCATTAATTAATACATTTATTAATAAGTGATAATTATACTTTCAGTAACAGGCCTTGTATGATGCTATGGTTAGTTTATTTTATTAAATTTCCTATATCGCCATCTGGATGAGGCCAAAGCGCATGCTCGGCTCCTATTTATTGACTTTTCTTCAGCTTTTAATACTATCCAGCCACATCTCTTAGCTTATAAACTTCTTAACCCGTTTAAACTGGATTTTAATCTTGTTGGTGGGATTTTAGACTTTTGGACTTGTTGTGGATGAGTCTGCTTCTTGGTGTGATCAGTCATTCTTAAAGATCAGCAGCTTGAAAAGTAAGGACATGGTAATTGACTTCAGGAAGCCATCCCCCCATCCTGCACCAACAGTAGTACATGGTGCAGCAACTGAACTGGTGGATAGTTTTAAGTAATTAGGGGTTGTTCTTGATAAGGTTCTGTCCTTTGAGTCACATTTTGATGCTACAGTGAAAAAGGTCCAATAACGATCGTACTTTTTAAGGAGATTCTGAAATGATGACCCTTTTTTATAAAAGTTTTATTGGATGTATTTTAATGTTTTGTATCATTGCTTGGCATGGTAATTTGTCTTTGACCAATAAGACCAGACTTAGTAACCTTAGTAACCAAGAGACATAGAGTGCCTTTTATACCTGCTGCTATTGTGATGATTAATAACACTAAACCATAAGCATTGTTGCCATCACTACTGGACATTGAACTTTGTTGATGATAACATTTGGGCTGTTCTCTCTGGGCTGTTTTGAGTGTGTGTGTGTTGTTTCATGTGTGGACATACTGCAAATCAATTTCCCACTGGGGACAATAAGGTTACCATTGAACACTGTATACTACCTTTTCTCTAAACTATATACTTTGTTGCCTATTTCAGGAGTACATGCGATGCCCCCAGTGTAAACTTTGCAGGACACTCACTCCTCAAGAGTGGATCACCAGCTATCGATCCTACGTGCTGCACAATAATATTCAATACTTAGTATTCACTGTTATATTCACATAGATCATCGCGATGATGTTGTTTATTATGTTGCTCTCTTTTTTTTTGCTTGTTTTCTCTTTTTTCTTTCTCAACAGGTGATCCAGGTGATTGATATATGTATTTTTTTTGTCTTTTTGTTTTGTTGTTTTTTTTTTTTGCCCTTTATCACCGTTCCTCTTCCCTGCTGTTTTTCTTTCCCTACCTCTCTTTCTTTCTCCCTTTTCTTTGCCTTTAGACAATAATTCTGATGCAAAAGAACCAAACGGGACAGAGGGAAGAAAAAAAAAAAGAGTGGATCACCAGTCTTGAATTTTCTCTAGTTGTATAGTTTGCCTTATTGTGGACTAATCAATGCCCAGGTCTTTATAAAAGCTTAATAACAATTTGACAAAGATCCTGTAAAAGCTATCACAACAGAAGCATGCTTTACACAACTAGTATTTCTTGAGAAGAGCAGACCTTGTCAGCACAAATTTTGTTTGCTTGTATTTAAATGGAGAGCAGCCTAACTCACATTTCCAGGTTTACATCCTTAACTGGAATGCTTGAATCCAAGGTAGCTTTTGGAAAAGTCATACCCCAGAGGTCCGGGTTACATGGTGAGTGCGTTCATAAAGGTCAAGTGATCACGTGTTGTTTATTTACTCTAGTTGGGTTTATAAATGAGATTTAGATGAAGGTCAGAACCCATTTTATAAGCAATTAATGCTGAAAAGACTAATTACAAATGCTTACTTTTAGCTGAAAGGTCATAAACCGATGTATAATGCTTAAAACAAACAATAAGAAAAACGTATGTATGATGATTAGGAGACTCAACAATATGTGTTATCACATAAAACCATATCATGTTTGTATTTCAAATGCACTCAGCGGAGTACTGATAAACAACACATTTCCTAGACATCAGATATGTAAAAGTCATGCTGTCTTCCTTTCTTTCTTCTTCTTCTTCTTTTAAGGTTTTGAACTTCTACATAAACTCACTAATGAAAACCTAAAAGTTCTACTTTAAATGGACCTCAATAGCCCTTTGTAGCCAAATAGGTGCTTTCACTTTTATCCATTCCTCTCATCACTGTCCAACCTGGCAACCACATTTTCAGCATAGTTCTTTCCACCTTTAACCTTTGACCTGATTCACAGAAGTCTAGTCAGCAGGAAAAACACTTTGTGTGTGTCTTTAGGAAAGACGTTTTCGTTTTAATTGAGTACAGGGGTTTGGTGTTTCCCAATTCAAATGTATGTGTCTGTAAAATGTAATAAAATAACAGTAAATAGTCCTGAAGCAGCAACTAACCAGGAGTAGCCAAGTAGCCAACTAGCCAAGAGATAGCCATGACTAGTTGCTGCTCCTGACTCCTCCTGACTCTTGAAAGTGTGGAGCAACAAGATGACACTGTGTATTATGTGGGATTATACACCACAGCACTGCTTTGAGTTTCGACTCATTAGTCATAGTCAGAGTCCACTTATTCTATTTTCATACTCACAAACAGACCTGTCCAAAAACCATAGTTTTTGCACTACATCAAACGTAAAGTGAAAACTATCTGCTTTTCTTTCACATTTTATATGGCAAACAACTTTTTTCCCCACATGCTCACACACTTCACTCCACTCCCTGACAATGTCCATGAGATGGCAGTATTGCACTCCATCTGTCCTCATCTGTAAGTCTGCAGTCTATCAGTATATTAAACTTTGCTACTGGAATCAAACTCACCAGCCTGAAAACACATCTCACTGGTGACTAATTTTTGCAAGTCCAATTTTGTCATATATGCACAATAATATGTTAGGTCATGTGCTCTTCATCTCAGGTGAACAGAGTAAAGCAGTTGGGGGAGTGCAAAACCCCTGCAGTGGACACAGAACTTAGCACACCACACAGGCACTAAACATAAAAACTAAACACAGAAAGCTTCACAAAGGCAGAACGTATGCAGACCTGATCAGACCTGTATAAAAAGTTTACATCACTGCACTGGTGTACCTAATATGTTTTTCAAAGCTCTTTACACTCTTATGTGTGGGTAGTCACTAATTACATTTACTCATTTAAATATACCTGAGTACTTTGGAAAAAAATTCTTTTAGGAGTAGCTTTACTGCACTGTGCTTTTTAATTTTACTTGAGTAATATTATTATGAAGCTTTGCTACTCTTACTTGAGAAACATTTCTCGCTACTCTACTCAGTGTAACTTCACTGCATGAATAATAAACACATTTTAATCAAAAATGCATGAGACACTGACACAAACCTACAGTTTATGTCAAGTCGTTGTTGTTGTTTTGATTTTCAGTCTTTCAAATACCAACATTTGCACTAAACTTTATATTTGTGTCTGTTTGATTATCTCATTTTTAAACATTAAATCAGATGTTATGATCAGTTACACAGTACTAAAGTAGCATTTCTTCTAAACTAAATTCTTTTTTACTGTTACTCGAGTAATTTCTTGAACGGCTACTTTTACTTTTACTTGAGTAAAACTATGTTGAGGTAGTGCTACTATTACTCGAGTACAATTTTTTTGGCTACCCTACCCACCTCTCGTTATAGTTATACTATTTTGGAGCACAGAGTCGATCGTGATGGGGTAGCAACAGGGCCCTTGACCTAAATATGCTCTGATGGAGGTTTTCTAATTAAATAGGCCCTACACGCTCAAATTCCCTGTCTGCTAGTAGACTATAATATATGTCAGGTTCATCAGGTCCACGAAGAAATGGCACAGTAACTCGTGATTTATTTTTATATTTTCAGCTATCAAATAAACATGCTGCAGTGCAAAAAGTTTTGACAGAAACCGCAAAACTGCGTAAAAGTCAGCTAGAGAACATCAGATGAAGGATATTTGCATAAAGTTGTACACGGCCTACGAGAAATCAGCCACTGACAATCCTCCACTGACACTCCTGCTTGGCAGGAGGTTCTCGCACATTTTTCAGTGTCGTCTTAAAAAGCTCCACTGGAGAACATGAACAGGAAACGGAGCTGAGCCGGGCTCCTCCTCCTCCTCCCAGCAGCTGTCAGGCTCTGATTGCAGCTAACCGCCTGTAGCCTGTAACATACTGGACAAGTCATTTCCTAACATAGTAGTGGACATTAACATTACACTTGGTAGTAAAGTCGGCATTGGCCGTACAGGGAGTGTGAGGGAGCCCGAAGCTTATTACGATCGAGGATGAAGCAGACACGAGCGTCAGGCTGCGGTTACATCGCAGCGGCATCTGATCAGTCACAACAAACAGCCATAAAACGCAAACCATCAGCCTCTCCAGCAGCACTACAGGAATCAGTGTAGGACCATGACAGCAATCACAGCCCGGTGATGGCACACACCAATAACCTGGAAGATGTGTCGCACGCACGCGCCCAAATCGTAACATTGTCGTTTTGTTATTTTTAAAAAAAATCTATTTTATTCTAGCAGCAGCTCTAAAACACCCGCCCGGCAGTAGCTGTGAAGCTGCTGCTGTTCCAAATAAGTCTGCCAACTATTTAAGAGAAAAACCCAGAGACTGTCGCCAGCTGCCGTTATGTAGGGTAAAGGTGAAAGCGCCAGCACACCAACAGGCATCGACTCTTGTTTACGTCTTTAAGGGCTGCCCCTCGCCGTCCTACGCGGTCTGTCTGTTAAAGGAGAACAATTCAAAGTGCTGAACGAACGGATCCGAGGAGCGCGGAAATCGACGCCTCTTACCCGCTCTGTCCTGGTTCTGCGAGAGCTTGGACCTGCTGGAGCAGCCTCTCATCATGGGCGTCCGTCTGATGGAGCGCAGTGCCTGGCGGTGTGTACGTGCGTCCAACAGCAGCCAGCGCCACTGATGCTCACTGTACACACCCCCGATGTGCGTGCGCGCGTGTACGTATGCGGGAACCTGGAGTCAGGAGGACGGCTTTCGACAAAAATGGGTATAATGAAAGAGCGGCCTACCTGCCTTATGACCCTCCTACACCCCACCCACGTTTAGACTGTCCGGAACGTCTTTACCAGCCCAACCCTTACAGGCAGAGCAAAAGAAGAAGGACTGGATTGGCAGCCAACTTTGACAGGGATGTGATATTTCATTCAAAAACAAACAACACAAAACAAAACAAAAATACCTGCACAGCATAAACTCAAACCTATATATATCATGAACCGGTTTGGGAAATATCCATAAACGCGCTGTAGCCTACGTTGGTTTTGTTTGCAGGTCTTCAGTGGGATCATGGTTTAAAGCCAGTCTCGCGACCAGGCGATGACCTTTTTTTTTTTTATTAAGTTCCACAGTCATATATATGAGGGGAAGCAGACTTTCCCAGGTCTGACTTGTGTTGGACTTGCACAGGCCCATGCACTCAGAAATCACTGTACTCTTGAGTCCGATTCTCTAAGCTACAGTTAACTATAATATTACCATGGGCTTGTTGTTAATATAACGTATGGTTATAACCAAACTGTATGGCTTAATTTCACTTACAGTAAAATTGATTTTCTAATTTAAAAAATACTATCAGTAAAACTGATTCTCAATCCAGCTCAGGGGGTACAGCGTCTGCACCTCTGGGACCACAACACTGCAGCTTATTGGGGCTTCACCTCATCTGCTTTCACGTGACACTTTTGGCTTATAAAATGCACAGTTCAAGAAAGAATCATTCAATTACACAGGCCTCCACAGTTCATACCATAACAATAAAAACTCAAAAACCATCCAGTGTATGCTGAATGTGCTCTAAAATTTCTTTATCCTACTTAGCCATATAGAATATTCTGCTCAAATAATACTAAAAAAAACCCTGAACCATGTCACTTATTTACTGCTGAATGTGAAAGCCAAATCCTTTTTTAAAAAAAGTTTAAAAGCTTTCCAGGAGCTGTCATACTTGCAGAACTTGTTCTCTGTAGCGCAGGAAGACTGCTCCTCCTTGCCTTGACGTAACTCAGCCAATACTGGTGGGGCCTGTTGTTTACAGTTCTGTTGCGTTTAATTGGACAATACACACAGGAAGACTCCTGGTATAAAATAGTTTTCGGAGAGTTATTGCACCTGTGACGGAAAGAATGGAAGAAAGACTACAAAATATGATGTGTGCAGTATGATCAGTGCAAGATGAATCACACCAAACGGAGTCCTGTGATCTTGGAGAGATTCTCGTGGTTCCAATGGTACTAACATTTATTTTTGTGCTTCTTTTCATATTTTTCTGTGACAAAACCCAACTTAATTTATTTAAAGTTCTAAGACAACAATTGTGGAAAAAAATGAAGTCAAGGCGCATCTAAGTATCAGTTATAGCTGCAGTAAAGAATTCTCCGATCTTCCATACAATGCTATGAAACGAAGCACACATGCACTGAGCTACCAAGCACTGTGACCCTCTGGAGATAATATAAGCATCATGTGACATGCCTGTGAGGACTTGAGGCTATTTTGGTGGCAATGATGATACCCTTAACTATAATAGTGATGGTGAGACTAATTGTCGAGCAGGAGCCTGCAAATGCAGATCTGTGAATAAAGAATAAAGACAGCCTTGCATACAAACACACAGAAAAGATAAGATAGGACGACACCGGGGAAATGACGAGGCATGGACAGAAAAACACGTGGAAACGGAAACGACCAGGACTCGGGAGGCTTCACGTACAACACAGACTATTCATGACGGGGTGGAATAGAAACAGTGGAAAGTCATGTAACTCTCCACCGACCTTCAGCACATTCCTCCCTAAAGGCTAAAGAGATCAAACCACTCACCCCACTCACCCTATGCTCCTGCTGTTAGCCTCGCACCCAAAACCTCTCACAGTACACCAGGATAACCACATTTTAAAAAACTGTGTTTGATAACAGCAACCAAATGACTCAATGAAAGACGTAATTTGTGATCCCCCACTGAGGAAACAGACTTCTAACTTAAGCAGGCATGCTTTAATTATTTTTATTGTCATCCTTTTGGTTTGCAACCCTTTGCTTTTGAGGAATTACGCAAAAAAAGGGAAGTGTTCAAGACACTGTTATGTCAACATCATGTTAGTAATTGAGACATAGTGGTACATCAGGACTGGACTTGTCTCTGTATTATGGAGCGATTAGCACAAAACATTCCCTCCCCTAATTCGTCACGAGGAAAAAAAACATGCTTTGGAATATGCTGTGATATTTCACTCGGGGAAAGCTGAGACTTTATTGTTTTATTCTCAGAACTTCTAAACTTCTTACGTTCACAGAGGCCCGAAGAAGAGCTGTGCAGTCCCGCTGACAGTACGGCAACATCCCAAAGGCAGAAAAGCCAAGTAGCTTTTTATGATCAGCGTCCCCTTAACACTCTCAGCATCACATGATCAAAGTGGGCTAAAGGTTGCAATCATAAACATGAAAATGTTGACCTTTTGCAGTTGAATGACATGTCAGATGGCTGCGTCCCACAGAACTACTTCGCTGCTCCTATTAATAGCAGCCTGACAAAGCCTGAAATACACGATACCAAAAAAAAAGAAAAATGTTGCCACATCCACAGGAAACGTGTCTGTCACACGAAAACTTCTATTTTAAGTTTAGGAGCGTGTTTAGAACCACCACGTGGAAAATCTTAGCATCTATGTGAAGTGGATTCACCCAAGACGTTTCCTTTCTCCCTGCTAAGGTTGTATTTTAAAGAGAAACTGTAGTCACAATTTACTGGAAGCATTTTATCACCACAGTGACACATAAGAAATTTCTCAGGAAAACTGACACAACTTGCCAATGCAACACAACCAGCCGTTAGCCCACTGCAGCTACAGGAAGCTGACAGTCTGAGTGCTGCTCTGTTAACAGGACACCAGACTGATCTGCAGCAGTGATTCTGTACAAAAAAAGTTTCTCAGATGGAAGCGATTGTGGAGGCTACATTTTATTAACATTTTAGGATTTTGAATCCTAAAAGGAAGGCAGCAAACGAAGGACGATATTAAGACAAAAGACAATAATGAGCCTTTTAGTTTCACAGTCTGTCCACAGTTAGTTTCTTTGAGTGTGATCTGCACACAACTGCATAGTTACACCATAGACAGGTAAATCCAGCATTCAAGTACACAACATATACCACTACAAATATCTCTACACACAGGTACTCTTACAAACAGCCCAGCCCCCTCCCCAAAAAAGAAAAGACATTATTACACAAAATAATTAAAAACAGAGAGGCCTGCGGTGACAACAGACAGGTGATATCACGTCTCCACGTCCCCGAAATATCCAGGTTTAACTCTGGCGTTCCTAATGTCTCTTATTTTAGAGCGCACTTGCTTGAAGTTGAGTCTCTCAGAAGTCTAAAGCACCTCTTGAACCTTCCACCAAAGCTCATCCTTGCCTCACTGACTCTGGCATACCGTGGACCCACTCTTGCCCCCCGCAGCGGCCTTCTTGCGCCTCTTGTTGAGCAGAGGGTTGCTGGAGGTGTCGAGATCTTTGATCTTCACCTGGTCATAGTCCACACGCATGGTCGCTAAAGCGCTGGTCATCTCTTCCTGCGAGAGAAGAGGCAGATGTTGGAGGATTTAGCTGGCGCTTACGGATGTGGAAACCGTTTGCTTTTTTACCAGTGGCACATGTATGTTTCCAAAGAGCAGCCAGTTAGCTTAGCATAACGTCAAGACATAAAATGGAGAAAACAAGCAAGCACGCTAAAGCTAATGAATTAACGCAATATGTCTGCTTTTTATTTTCCAAACAAAAAGTATAAAAAGGAGAAGCTGCGGTTTTAGTGAGGACTGTTTCTCAGCAGGGAACAGTTGCAGGTGTTGGTCAAGAAACTCTGAGGACATAAAACCCAAAGAGCCTGCAACTTTTTTTTGTTTACACATCAGTATAGGTCTGAATTTTTTTTTAAAAAGAGACGATATGTTAACCAGAGAAGCTTTAAAAGTGCTGATAAGTGGAATTTATTGCTGTAGGATGGTGTCAGGTTAGCTGTTTCCAGGCTTTACACCACCCCAAAATAATTAGAGCTGACATCTATCCTCTCATTAGTCATTTTTCACACCATCAACTCTTAGAAAGGAAACAAAGGAGGATGTTTCCTATAATGTCAAAATCTTCGCTGCAAAGGCTTCCACGCAGTTCGCTGCTGTTCAAGATCTGTGCAGCAGGAAAGAACTAAGCAAAGGTAGAAAGAAAAAAGGAAACAGGCTGGAAATATTTTTATGATTTTAAAAAAAGGCCTGAACTCAAAATGAGTCAGAACAGACCTCAGAGAAAACGAAACCTTTTCCATTTACTGTGAATAAAGCTCAATATAAAGACTGTACCCTCCTGACTCTTTGCTTTTTGAGAAGTGGCCTTTTATGCAACGCTGTACCCAGTACCCACTGCAGAAATGAACAGTGGTGTATTGTGAGCGTATCATTTTGCTGAATGGTCTTTTCACACCTTATCATGACAAACCTGTTCATTCAGCTGTTGTGAAGGAATGTGCCATTCCACATGTTATTTACAGGGATTGAAAATAAGTGATTGCCTAAGTGAGACATTTTGTACATTTCTGCATGGTTGAATGAACTTGATATGAGGAAGTGGTGTTTTCTTTTGTTTAGTAGTTTAAATCAGGAAAAAATGCAGGAATGGCAAAAGGTAAGCTAAGCTTAGGTGTGTTTGGGTTAAATATTAAACTGTAACTCATACAGTTGTACAGACTGCGAACACTTCTTCACCCTGCTGGTTGTCAGGAGATAATCAGGATGTAAAGACATGAGGATGGCAGTTTTCCTCACATTTCGATCATTAGAATATTTAAAAGGCCACTTTGCTGTTTTCACACATGAAAATCTGTTTAGAGGTCGTTAGGGTTTTACTCCAACAGCTGAAATTGTTGTATATGTCCTCTGTGGTTCTGAGCTTTTTAATGATGTGATTGTAAGCGGCCTTGATTACATCATATGTATGCCTTTAGGTGCATTTCAGAGCATACATGGAGGCTTGAGGTTTCAAGAGAAACCGGAGTAAACTGGGACATTCTCATGCATTCTTGAAAGTTACCAGTTTAATATTTTTGGAGTTTTCCCCCATACTGGTCTATAAACCACTGCAACGTTAACTGAAACCCTACTGCAAGCTGAACATTTCAGCAGCCTATCATTAACAAGCTGTAATGTCAAGATGTGACCAGAGGGGGTCGATGTTGTCGTGCTACTGACCTTCACGTCCTCCCACATCTCTCTGTCTTCTGTCAGGACCCGTGTGGTGTGCAGGGGAGTGGAAGGAACCATCATGGACTGCTGCAGAGTCCAAACACAAACACCGATGAGGACGTAAGCAAACAGATGCACAGACGAGCAGGAAACAGTAGATGAGGCGTGTACGGGTGCTTACATTGATCCAGGGGTGGTTCATAAACTGGGTGATGGTCATTCTCTCGTTAGGGTCTGTCTTCAGTAGTTGGTGGATCAAATCTTTTGCTGGGAGACACAAGGCAATGCAAAGTTTACAACTTTTCACATGATGTTTGCCTTGGAGATAAAATGTCCTATTTATAGTGGATTTTGATGTGTTGAATTCAAATGTCACTATTAAAACAGCTGCTTGTCTCATTGTTTTATATATTGGTAGATAAGTTGAAAATATGTGCTGTGATTTGCTGAAACATGGGCAAATGTACAGGGAAATACAGGATATAAGGCAAAAACAGAGTTTTTATAGTTTTAACAACCATCAAAGTGAATATTTTGCATGGCCACCTTTATTCTTTAACAAAGGCTGAACTCTTAGGCATGCTTTCTTGTAATTTCTTCAATTAGTCTCGAGGTTCAGGCTCTGGGGAGAACAGACTGATAGTGTTTTATGTGTCTTTCTATTATCTATTATCAGTGCATTTGGGATCCCTGTCATGCTTTACAGAGAAGCTGTTGCCAGATAGGTGCTTTCCAGATGGTATTTTTAAATATTCTATTTAAAAATTTCTGACATCAATTTTGAAAATATACCCAGTACCACTGTCTGAAATTAGCTCCATGGAAGCGGAATATAAAGAAATCACATGTGGCTCAAGACTTTTGCACAGTACTGTATATAAATAAGACTTGATATGAAAAAAAAAATGGTTTTCCCCCCCAGTTGTTGATGTTTCCACAACCAAACTTATTGAATTAACAAAATATTTCACTGGTGCATTTTCTGTGAGTCAAAGTACTTTCAACAGAACACTGTGAAGGAAAAGGAAAATATTACTCAGGGATATTATGCTAAAAAAACCCTTGTAACTTTAATTTGCATCATTACAAATTGGTTAAGGTTAAATCAAAGGTCAGAGCAGAGTTTAAATATAATACCAAGAAGAAGAAGGAGTCACTGGAGCAAACGGAGCCACATATTTAACACTGGATGCAATTTAAAGAGACGGTGACAATGGACAGAATATTGAACATTAGAACAAGATTTATTGGGGAAAGAATCCCAAACTAGCTGGCTATATCTGAAAAAGTAATCCCCGCCTAAACCTAATAACTGGTTGTGTCACCCTTGGCAGGAAGAATTGCAATCAAGTGTTTGTGTAGGATTTTGGCCCACTCATCTCTGGAGAATCATTTTAAATCAGTCACATTGGAGGGTTTTCGACTACGAACCGCCTGTTTAAGGTCAAAGCATCTCAATCACATTTCAGTCCACTTTGACTAGGCCACTTCAAAACCTTCATTTTGGTTTTTTGAGCCATTCACAGGTAGACTTGCTGTTTTTTTTACGGACCTCTGTCCTGCTGTGCACCTGAGCTTCAGGGCATAAACTGATGGCTACAGTTCAGGATTTTGTGGTAGAACAGAATTCACGGTTCCATCAGGTACAGCAAGTCGCCCAGATCACCTTTTGTCTCGTCAGTCCAGACTTATACCCAAGTCAAAGCCTTGGGTATAATCAAGATGAAGATGTGAGATGAGCCCTTGTGAGGTTTTTTTTTTGGTCAGCAGTGGTTTTCTCCTTGGACCTCCCCCATAGATGCCTCGTGAACTCTGACCTTAACTGAGGCACGGTAGGCCTGAACACTTTTTTTGGAAAATTTCTAACATTTTGAGTTATTTTCCAGTGTTAGAAAATCAGCACTGCTCAGTGTTGGTCATTGTTAATCTTCAAAACTGACTAGGTTACTTTAAAAAAATATAACACTGTCAAAAGTGTTCATTTAACACTCAACAGTGTTATATTTAACACTCAGATTGGTGGACCCATATAGACACTCTCTAGTGTCAATTTAACACTGGAGATTTTGCTGTGTAACCTTTCTAAGCCTGATAGTTGTCAGTGACTTTTAAAATTAGGTCATGGCATGAAATGTTGCTTTTTGAGATCTTTTAGCTTGTTTCACTTTGTCAGGCAGTTTCTCTTTTAGCGACTTCTTGATTCGACAGGTCTGGCAGCAATCGGGCCTGGGTGTGACGGGTGAAATTAAAATCAGCTTTCTAAAGAAATGTGGTTCATCATTTATCATTGACTGTTAATTCATGATTTAACAAGGGAGGGAACCATTTTTTCACACACAGCCAGGTTGGTTTGGATAGTATTTTTTCCCTTAATAAAAATAATCATCATTTAAAAACTGCATTTTTATTTACGTGGGTTATCTTTCTCTAATATTACATTTTTTATGATCTGAAACATTTAATTGTGAAAATATACACATACACACAAATATACACAAAACTAAGAAACCAAGAAGGGCCAAATACTTTTTAACCACACTGTAAGTAAAGTTTATATAACAGCGAGATGCAAACTGGGGCAAGATTATATCTTGCTGTATATGATTCTCGAAAATGTTTCTGTATGATAATATCTTAACTTGACATACATTGACATTTAGTAAATTTGCAGAATTGGCCTGAGTGCAGCCCCTGCTGTTTAAGGTTTCCTGTTTCTGACAATAGAGAGCAGACAAGCAGGCCATACATGCATGAATGCAGATAAACACTGCTGTGTCACACATGATTGCAAACATTTGTAAAACCTGCAAATGTTTACAATAAAAAGACAAATATATCAAAAATGTATTTTTTGTAATTCTCTCACAAAAGCTCAGATTTTTAGCCTACAGGTGTTTCTATTCATATGGATTAAACAGAGGAAAGCTACAGACTTTTTTTTTGCTGCCATACAAAATTAAAAGTTGTAGAAAATTTGTACATTTTTGAAGAATGAAACATGTTTATGAATTTTGCATCTCTTAAACAGCACAGTGGCTTTAATTTGACACGTCTAAGGAATTTACAGTAATTTTAGAAAATTTTAGTTTTGTTTTTTATAAACAACCCTCCGTTTGAGATCGGATATTTTTCAATGGCCAAGTCGGTCAGCTGATCTCAACCTCAACAAGCAGCAACTGAAGGAGGCTGCAGTAAAGGCCTCGCAGAGCATCTTAAGATAGGAAGCACAACATTTGGTCTGTGGTTTCTAGACTTCAAAAAGTATCTGACTGCAGAGGTTTTTTATCCAAGTATAAAAAAAAATCCTTTTATTTAAAATGATGCTACTTTGTCCAGTTGAACCTCTGAAAATGGCAGACTAAGCAGAAAAAATGGCTTTAAATCTCTAAATCGTTTATACAAAATTTTATATATTATATAATTTTCATCAAACCCCTTGTCAAAGCTGTAAATCTGCACTTAAATCATCTGTTTGATTTAAAATCCACTGTGCTGGTGTAAAGAGGCAACCCTACAAAAACTGTCCTTGTCCAAAAACAAATAGACCTAACGGTAACTATGTGTGCTCGTTGCCTATATGGCTGCAAGCTAATATGCTGTTTGACAGTGTTTTAGTTTGAGTTCCTCACCTTCCTGTGACACCTCCGACCACTCTGGATTAGGAAATTCATACTGGCCCATCCTGATCCTCCTCTTCATCCCAGGAGAAATGGCTTGGCCTGTATTCGAGTAAAACGGAGGGAAGCCGCACAATCTGCAGAGACAAACAAGCCGTAATGATGACGACCATTTAAAAACGTAATAAAATTAAGCAGCGCTTCTTGTAACAGTATCCAAATACAAATACATGCGCCGTACAATAACATCTGTGGTGAAATCAGCACTGGCCTCCACACAAAGACAGTACTCACAGGATGTACATGATGACGCCCAGAGACCACATGTCACATGACTTGTCGTACTTCTCTGGACCCAGAACCTCGGGAGCTTATCAACAGGAATACACACGTACAAACAATATAACAGTGGAGATTAGGGCACAGGCAAAAAGTGACTCAGCAGCTTATTACTGTCATTTTGAAACATCTGGCTCATTTGTTAATATGGCCCAAACCCATCCCGGGACAAAGTAAGACACCTTACCCACATAGTACGGAGTATAACAAGGAGTCTGCAAAGGATTGTGCAGCGTGGTCTCCTTTGCAAAGCCAAAGTCTGTCAGTTTGAGGACCGCATTTCTCTCTTTACTTGTGTACAGCAGGTTCTCTGGCTGGAGGTGGAAGCAGCAGAGGAAAACAAGTGAACCAAGCTTTCACCAAACTACCCAGACATGACATCACATGCTTCACGATTTGGGCACTGAACTTCATCTCTGCATACCTTGATGTCTCTGTGCGCGATATCAATGTTGTGGAGAAAATCGATGGCCGTGCCGATGTCCCTCATAATCTCTGATGCCTCTGGGAGGAAAAACAGGTAAGCAGACTCTCTCAAACCAGAAGCAATTCCAGTGTTAAAACAACAGGAGGCACAGATGAAAGAGAGCTCGCTTTAACTAGTTAACACGTCGCCGTTGCTGTGTATCCATCACGTGGAGTCTGCCCTCCATCAGTCCTCACCTTTTTCAGTGAACGCCTGGTCTCCTCTGGCCTGGATTCTGCTGAACAGCTCTCCTCCCTCCATACTGGACACATAGACAAGCAGGGAGAGAACAGGGATCAGTGTATTATAGAATAGTACCCACATTTCTGTTAGTACACGTGTAACACTTTTACAAAGTGCTTCACAGTTGGGATAAAAAGGCTTTAAAAATAAGTGTACATATTTGTACAGAGTCAAGCACACAGCCTTTCATTCAATCCTGCATACAAAAAGCCACAGATAACAGACAAAAGATTCAAACAAACCACAGAGCCAACCATCAGCCAACCTGATAAGGAAGGCTGTTCCAAAGTTAAGGGTCTAAAGTGTGATCACGCCTGGTTTTAAAATAAGTGTGTGGAACAGATGGGTGACCCTGATCAGACGACAGGAGACTAGAGCTCTGCTACAGGAGCCTGTCCATGTAAGGTTGTCTGTAAATTACACATTAGAGATCATTAAAGACCTGCTTGCCTTTACACCAAAATTTGGGAGCATTTTTTTCCATCAGTAAAGGAAAGGAAGACCAAAAGAAATGTTGGTCTTCCCCCAAAGCAAAAGCACCAGGATTATTTTAAACTACTAGTGTTATTTTTTAAAGGGGGGATTCTTTTACTTAATTATGAACTATTTACTCACACTGCTAAATCTTTTGGAGTTTCTTCTGTGACGAAGCGGTAAGTGAAATAATAAAAATACTGAGTGAAAGTGAAACTGAGACAGTTTAAAAACAGGAAGAAGGGAAAAGCACCAAAGTCCTACTAAACAAAACTGTGTTTATACTGAATGAGTGTGCCATTATTAATTCATCTTGCAGTGATATAAACACTATTTGTCACTTCTGTAGTGTCATTAATGACTTAGTAACACAATAAGAGGTTATTTTGCAATAACATAAACGTTTGGTTTCATTTTATATCTGAGAAACGTTCAGAGACTCACTACCAAAAACATCTTGAGCCAGATGCTTCCCACTCTCCACTTTCATTGTGTGATATAGAGAATCACTGATACCTGAAACTCCACCTTGAGTTCTTTGGAAAAATGTCTCCATAATTGCATTAAGTAAGCGCACTTACTCCAGCACGCTTCTTGTGGATCGCAAATGAACTGAGAGCTGAAGGAGGAACGGGAGCTACTAAGCTACCCACAGCGAGCCGAGCAACTTCCTTCATACAGGAAGCAGCAGACATTCTCTCGCTGTGTGTGTACCGTCAAGGTCACTACGCACATATAACAAACACCTGCCATGTCAGTCAATGCGGTGATGACAATCACTCTTTAAAATTCCCACATACTGAGCAAAGGTGTCAAGCCTATGGAGTTCCTTTTTTCCCCTCTGAATTATTCACATTTCCTCCCTTAGAGAAATAAAAAGTCCAGAGTTCAAACATGTGTCAAAGCACACACACGCACACACAGTTATGCGTCCTTCACTCATATTCACCTTAACTGTAGCTACTTTCCAAACCTTTAACCTTCTCCTACCTTACAACATGCATTGACTTGGACAGTTACCATATGTAGACAAGTGTTTTTGTCCTTATAAGGAAAACACTTCCCCACAACATGAGTAATACCTGAACCACACACACGCACACACACACACTTACACAAACACACAGACTGTTTAGCAATGGCGTTGAATTCATTACAAACAGTTTGTCATGACACATGAATTCCAGATGAAATTCTGTCTCTATGTCAGCTTCAGAGCAGCAGCTCTTATAACTGACCTTTTTTGTTCTACATATTTAAAAAAAAAATAGACCCTTTTCTCCCAGCGGCCATGTGACATGACGTAGCTGGAAAACGCAGGTGTTACTAATCACATAATTAAGGCTCGTAAACAAATCAGACTCCCTGGTTAATGACACCGGTAACACCTGTGTTACTTCGTGTCAACATGGCTGCCGTGACGTCTGCATAACGTTCGAGGGAATGGCTTCACCGGCTGTGCTGAAAGGTGACGTAATCTCTGATTTCAAATAAAATCCACAGATGACGTAAGCGTGTGCCCGGCTCTATCCTAACCTAACCTCAGTAAAGAACTAATGTTATTATTTGACAGAAGGAGACCATATACAGGACGGCCTCTTAATTCTGTTTATATTTAGCCCAACTAACACTTTGAGCTTGAGTTGCTGTTATGTGTGCAGTTACAGTGTCACAACAGCGTTGATAGCATCTTGTTGGAAAAACATGTGGGCATGTTGTAAGACCTTAATCACTGCTGAGCTCATTTTCTTTGTTTGTCATGAAGCAAGGTTAAAAAAAAAGAGAGAGAGAAAAAGCAAAAGTGTAAGCTGTAAAAATGATGCAAGGCAACTTTAGCTTGTTATTTTTAATCTTTCACTTTGTTATGTTGTCATTTATTCAAAGGGCGTCATCTTACTCAGAGCTGTGACTTATGGGACTCTGTACCCACTCCGAGCTCTCTTTCACATTAAAATACTGATTCATCATTACATCCTACAGAATGAAAATGTCTTTAATGTCATGCTTTCAACAAAAAGAGAGCAGACTTGCTCTAAGTTTCAAGACACTGTTGTTTTTTTAAGAAAAGCTTTAAATAGGAAGGTACAGAGAAAGTGTTTGATTCAAGGAAGTGCTAACTGACTGGTGAGATCCTACCACTCCATGATGATGAGCAAGCACTTCTTCCCGTGATACATGTTCTCGTAGAGGCTCAGGATGCGAACGATGTACGGCCCTCCTGACACTCGCCAGTGGAGCTCCACCTCTCGCCTCGCTTTGGGACTATCATAGAGAATCTGGGAGAGACGCAGAGAGAAGGACAGATCATGTCACGTTATATAATCGTTTGTGAGGAGTCATTCAACTTTAACATGGATAGTTTTGGTGTAGTGTAACACAGCAGCAGCATCATTTTATAAAAACATTTCCATACAGCTGGCAGAAAACAATAAATAAAGTTAAAAATCAATTGCTGTTAATTACAAACTGTGTTTACAGCAAAATAAACCCAAATATTTCCTGGGATTTATTTATCTTAGTCCAGGAAAGCAGTTTTTGGTTTTTTCTGCATAATGTCATATACATGGGCCAAGCTGATAAGTAGATGAATCAATACTAAATACATTGATGCTAAAAATAATCAACATCGTCTTAGGTTTTACATGTCAAGACATATGTGGGTCTAAAAATTTGGCAAATACGCTCTTGTATGAAAAAATTACATGATATATTACACTGTGTTGTTATTTTTTTTAACAAAAGGTCAGTCAAAAACTGTAAAAGCAGTCAGCAGTACATCCCTACTGCTTACAAAGGAGTTAAGAGGGTAAGTATTAGAGGTGGGAATCACCATACATCCCATGATACGATATTATCACAATACTTAACGCACGATACGATATTATTGCAATTTTTTAAATATTTTGCGATATTCAGATTCTGTACATAAAGGTAAACTTTATCAATATTCATTTTATCTAATATCAAAGTCACACTCAGTCTTTCTCTCATTTCAGTCAGTTTTATTGTTGACAAACTGAACGGTTTGTATTACAGTCTAGTCCAACTTAACTGAATGCAACCATCTGGTACAATTATAGCTATTCTGAACTATGCAATATGAAAACTATGCAGCCCATTCAGCAACTGAAGAATTTGAAAGTAAATTAAAACAAAATATAATTTTACATTAAATAAAAAAGTTTTAAACTTAATTAAAATAAAACATGTCTTAAATTAAAATAAGTAAACTGTCATGTTTATTGCTGCCAAAAAAAGTTAAACACATTTGGACAGTGAAGGAATGTCAGGATTCTTGCTCAGAAAAAGGATCAACATGCTCTGAAGTCAGAGCACAAAAACCTTTTTTGTAACAAAATATCGATTTCTGCTGTCCCTGTATCGATACATTATTAGCAAACAAAATATCACGATACTACACAGTATCGATTTTTCCCCCACCCCTAGTAAGTATGAGCCAGGTGTTGCTAGGCAGATGCATTCAATGCTATAAAAGCAGATGATTTTTGGCAGTTCTCTGGTCTGCAGCATTCAGGTGTGTGTTACACAACGTCAAGACATCACGAGTGATCTTGTTGCTCATCAGTCTTGGTTTTAGTCTGATTACTCACAACTGGAAAACATTCAAGACATCAAATTGACCCCAAGGTCAGACAATGCAGTTATACCTCAGACTCCACAGGCCTCAGTTGGTATGTTAAATGTTAAAGTTTGTGACAGCACAAATAGAAAAAGACTGAACAAATATGGCTTTTTTGAGAGGTGACTGGGGAAAAAAAGCCTCTTCAATCTAAAAGGAACATTTGCAGCATTTCTTAGCACTGCAAAGTTTCATATGAACAAACCAATGTGGAGATGTTGTGCCATATTTCACAATGTTACGTTTGGTGAAAACCAAACACAGCACATCGGCACAAACACCCCGCACCAACTGTCGAGCACGGTGGTGGAGGGGGTGATGATTTTGGTTTGCTTTCCAGCCACAGGACCTGGGTACCTTGCACTCATTGAGTCAACCGTGAACTCCTCTGTATACCAAAGTACTTTAAATTCAAAGGTGAGGGCGTCTGTGCAACAACTACAGCTTGGGCTAAACTGGGTCAATGATACTGTTTTGATCCCAAGCACAGCAGCAAATCCACGACAGAATGACTGAAAAAGAAAAGAAGCAAGGTGTTGACCCAGTCAAAGTCCAGATAAACCTGACGCAAAGGCTGTGGCATGACCCTAAGAGAGCTGTGCATAAACAAATACCCATAACATTGCAAAGAAAGTGGGCCAAAATTCATTCACAAAGATGTGGGAGACTGATACTCATACAGAAAACCATTATTTAAGGTTTCTGCAGCTAACGGTGATTCTACAAGCTACTGAATCGTGAGGTGTGCTTAGTCTCTTACACAACTTCCGTATTTTAGCTTAGCTATTGTTTAATAAGTAATGATTTATAATCTCATGCTGCGTGCTGTTCCTCCTTTGAGGTGGCATTTAAATAGTTTTAACAACTGGTGAGAATCAGATGATTTTTTTGTTGTTATGTAAAACCAAAGAATGGAAAGAGGGTACTTTCTTTTCAAAACGACTGTAAGTGGATTGGTAGTTCAAGCTCTAATGTCAGTATAAGAACTGATGCCTATAAATACTGGAATAGCCGGGTACTCACACAGTTTGCAATACAGCAGACACACACACACACACACACACACACACACACACACACACACACACACACACACACACACACACACAGACGTACAAAGCAGGTGACAGACTTTGACATAGCACAAAGTCAAGGGGTATTTTTGGATGTGACAGTGATGGAGCTATCCCCTGTTGTTCACAAGGCCGGTCTGCTTACAGACTGCGCCTGGAATACACAACACACACAGAGTTTGACTCACTGACGTATGACAGACACACATACATAAATCTGTGGTGTGTTGCAGGTGACTTTCGCAAGGCTCTACCCGAGCAAATTGGATTCAGCTGGTGGGTAAACATGAAATTTCTTGGAAACTCCAAAATGCCGGAAAGAAACAGCTCATCTGTGTAGTGCCTTTTTTTCCTCTATCTTTTTTTGCTTGCTAATGTCAAAGAGGAAGCAAAGGGTTCAGAGGACGGCAGTGTGTTAAAAGAAGAAGTTGAGGGTTTCCGGTGTCTGATCTGCTACTACATGTGTCCTATTTTGCTCACCCTCGCCCACTTGCCTTGACTTTAAGCGGAGCAGTGGGCAGGTTTTGCTTTTGCTATGTAATTTATAGCTTTATGACTCCAATCAAGAGCAGATAGTTTATGAGCTGGTTTCCTTAATTTCCTGCAGCGAAACAGAATCGGCTCTAATAAAAAGGGGCCTGTAGCACTGTAGTAAAACATAAAAAGGGTTGCAGAGGAAGGACTAAGAGAACGAGACAGTTAATCTTCAGGAGGATTTTGTTCTTATTTGAAAGGGCACGTAAACCAGTCAACGATGACTCGACACTCAGACGAATCAGATCTGTGTCAGGAGAAGCTTAAGAAACACTGAGACACACACCTTTAGCTGCTAAGTTTAACCACATGCTGCCTCCCACAGAACCTTGGTTAACACACACACACACGCACACACACAAACACACTTTAATTGCTCGAACATGTTTACACTCTATTAAATATTAGTGAATTTCAAAGTGCTGGTCTGTATATCTTCATAAAAATGTGGTTTATCTTTACAACATCTGCCAATAAAGATCTGCTCATAAAGGCTACAGCAAAGTGGTCTAGAAAGCAGGAGACTGTGTAAGTGCTAAATACTAATGTCAGCAATCCTAACATGTTCATATTCAGAGAACATCAAAGATTTGTTGGGTTGTTTCTTTTGCTTTTGGACCAAAGTGATACACAGACTGATGATACCAATCCTAGAATCACTTTTTTTTTCTTTATAATGATTTAAAAAGCCTGAAAAACTCACTCAAAATTGTAAATGGCCTTTTTCTTCTATAGTGCTTTTCTACTTGAACCTCAGTCATTCACACACTTTGCTTTCCGTCTGACATTCACACACTGATGAACACATCAAGGGAACTTCAGTTCAGTATCTTGCCCAAGGATGCAGATGACCTGTGCTCACAGCCACCTCTTAGAAGACTTCTACTGCTCAAGTATAAAAATACTCACAATGCATTTTTGCATATAGAAAGTGGAAGTGAAGCAATGAAAACATAAAGTTCCTCTGTGCTGTAAAGGTACAGAGTGATCAGAGTGATCCCAACAAGACACTTCCAGCTCTGTTGGGTTGATGAGGTTTAAAAGCCTAAATCCTTCAATTCATTCAAAAGGACCCCAGAGACTGATTAACTTGTTGGAGGGAGCTTAACCCTAACCTATGAGATCTTACAGAAACTTTCAAAACAAAAGTCTTTTTTGGAGCTGCCTTTAACCAAAACAGTGGGCATTTCCTTTATGGTTTGGATAATTTACACCCTGAAACACACTCATTTGTGCAACAAGTGTGCCAAAGTGATAACCACAGAACCCAAAGCCACTGATAAGATTTTGACTATGAGTAAAACAGGCCTGCAGGCCATTTAGCTTCACTCGAAAAGGCCCAATGTTCTCTTAAGTGGAACAATCATTTGTACTTCTGTCTAAGCAGTTAATGGTGGAGGTCACGAACGCATCCAAACAGCACAGGGCTCTCTCTCCCATCCCCTGCTGTTAAGTAAGAAAAATCCAAGTTAAAAGAACCAAGATAACTTTAACTGCATTACACTGAAAGGATGGCTTTGTTCAAGCACTGCTGCAAAGTAGATTAAAGCCATAGCCATCTATTACATTCAGCGCTCAGAGCAACACTTAATTTAAAAACCCAATGGGCCGGTCATCCGACTCTACATCAGTCTAGATTCTGTTTACTTTTACTCACTATTTAACTTGACATAACAAAATTAATCAAATTTACATAAACGGCTGTATGAACAAGCACAGTGCAAAAGAAAAACTGCAGCAGCTACAATAGAGAAGACAGACTGAGCCATCAGAGGTGTTTCTTCTGCCGTCTCTTAACACCTTTTAACAGATCTTCAGAGAGAAGAAGATGGTCAGAGGCTTAATGTGATGCGTTCCCTCTCTACTTGGGTCACAGCGATCTATTGCCGGCTTTCCCCTACGGAACAGTGTGGTTGCAGTGACACACACACACTTACAGTCTTTTGGCAGAACATTAAAAGACACAAAACTTTCTTTGTGTGTTTCAGTTCTGTCATTACTTCTGACAAAAGACAAAAACTTGCTGGATTCAGATTAGCATTTTGCCTGAAGATTTTTTCTGCATCGGAAGTCTTTTTCATTTTAAGTAATTCTTTCTGCTCATATTTCTAAGCAGAATTGTTTTCTTTACCGGTCCCACCCATGATGCTATCAAGAAAAGTATCCCCTTTCTGATTTTGGCATTCTATCTTTTTTTTTGTAATATTCAATTTCCTGCTGCAGTTTATCTCTTTTTTAAATCTTTAGCTTTAGTTTCTATCCCAAAGTTTTGGGTATGCTCTCCTTTTGACACTGCTGCCTGGCTGGCAGCTCAGATCCAGATGGATTACTGTAAGCCAGTAAATCTCTCCGGGTCTGTGGACCAGTGGTGACAGGTGAAAACCTGACGACCTGTGCATGTGTGCAGATGAGTGTGAAGGTTTCTACCGCTCCCAGAATAAAGTGTCACCATCATAGTCCGTGTCTCTTTGAAGCAGTGTAGCACGTGATATTTTATGGCTAGGTGACCACACACCCATTAACTTGGAACTGATTGCAAAAGGCTGACCTTCCAGGAAACACCACCAGATAAGTGAATGTGAGCTCGGGGAGAAGCATGTACAGTGCATGTCAAACCCAGTATGATCAGTAGGTATATATACATGCAAAACCAGCAGTCTATTCATCTATCTGTCTATGTCAAACACTGGTTTTGTTAGTAACCTTTAACCTTTCATGTTCCTGGAAAAAGAAAATCCTACTTCCATAAAGGTCATAGTTCTTGATTCTTGTCTACACAAGTTTCCACTCTTATATTTTAAACCCACAGTGCAAACAAACACTTTAGGATAGCTTATGGACCCTTATGTGTGTTTCCACAGAGTTTGATATTTAAACCATACTTGCATTAGATTAGGATCAAATTTAGAGGAGTGATATAAATAAATACCTAGACACACCACCATAATCCAACATAATGGACTGACGCCTGTTTTTCCAAATGGATTGACCAGTCTGGACAGTCGACATCTATGTTATTACATCCAAACAAAGTGAGAGATAAACTTGTATCAGAAACAGGTGTTCTTTCAGCTGGGATGATCTAGAGTTATCGCTTAAAAGCTATAAAGTCTGCAGTTATACTGTGAGAGTGTCAACAGGAGGGTCGGGGACAATTTATGATATACTCATGAGACTTCGATACCTTTAGCGCGCACTTCTCTCCAGTTTTCTTGTTAAAGCACTCGAGGACTTTGCCGTTGATCCCCAAGCCCAGAACCTGATTGGAGACTTTATAATCGTCCGTCACCGCGTTTCGCTTTATCTCCAGTTTAGGGTAAGTGGGCATGGGGAAGTGTGTGGACTCTGCGTCCTTCTTGTCGGCGGCTGGGAGAACTGCCGGCTGCTCTTGCTGCAGTTTCGGGTTGCCATCCGTGGAGTCTGACTCTGTCCCACCAGTATTTGGCGGTTGCGGAGCTTTTTGCTTTCCGTTTCCATTTTGCAGCATGTTTTACACCGGCTTGCTGTCAACAGCGGTGCACAGAGGGACAAACTGTGAGCAACTCTCCGGATTAACGCGATGAGTCCAGCCCTCCTCCGGTAAATGCGTAAAGCTGAGACCTCTAACGCATCCGCCTGTCCCGTGCGGACTCTACCACAGTGACTCCACTCTATCTTCACACAGGCTTACAAGTCAGAGTCCATTTGGGGAAACTACACTATAATTCTATTCTTTAAATGTAGCTCTCTGAACTTTAGCGATCCGGGGTGGCCCGTGAGAGAAAATCTAAAAAAGAATTTGAGCGCAAATGAACCATTTAAGAAAATTCCAGTCAGACGTGTTTGGGGGTAAAAAAAAAAAAAGAGGCAGTGGTGACGATTATCTGTTGATCTCGGTTTCCCGCTGATAACTCCTTCAGCTGCATTCACATGGCCAGTCGCTGTCACAGTAATTTAAGCGCCACCCTCCTTCAGTCAAGTCATATTTCTCAACTGACCTACGCGGCCGCCTTAAAGGAGCAGGACGGATATTCAAGCATCAAATGAGCGCTGCGGGGAGGTGAAACTAGTCAGTGGTAATAACGGTTGTATATTTGGCTGTGCAGAAAATACACACAAAAAAGGATCCAATTACCAAGTGATTTTAGTGATGGTAAATAAACACAGAGGATATTGCTTGTGAACACTTTATTAGATAGATTAAAGTAGATAACCAATAACTAACAGCAATAACTAATAATAACTAATTTCTCGTTCAATAGTCCAGTGCACAGATGAGTGCAACACCCCGTTTGACCCAGTGCCTCTGGGTGTGATGTGTTGGCAACTCCAATGACACCACATAGTTCGTAGAGTGGCCGGTGGTGGACAGAGTCCCTGCAAAAGCACACAGAGCACTTCAGTGACTTAAAGACAAAAGTGTTTTAAACCATTTCTGTTTTTTCATTGCTACACTGAAGGAAGGATTTGTGAGCAGCCTAAGGTGCCAAGACGTTGGCATTGCGAGTGGAAAAAACTGAGCTGCACTTTCAGCACTTTCAGATGCTTCATGAAATTAGACCCTCACTGGAGTCTATTTTGGGTGAGTAATAAAACCAGCAAACAGAGATACGCACAAACCTATGACGGCACACCTACTGACTACAGATCATAACCTGAGCCAGAGTTTCACAAACATGGACTTTTCTTTTGTTTTTTCCTCACAAATTTACAAAAAACTCGAATTAATCTATATTATTTCTTATAATCTCTATACTAATCTATATCACTCCTCTATATACTGACCAGCTCGTGTGAGTGTCTTGTAGATAGGGCATACATAGATCCCTGAGGCTGGAGGCTTTCGGTTGGGTTTGGGGATCAGCCAGATGACGGCCATTTGGGTGTAGAGCTCCTTGGGTCTGGACTCTGCGAGCTGACCTGCCTTGTTATCCCAGCGAGCCCCCTCCAGGAATAGACCATGAATGTAGCAGCCTGTGTCTGGTGTTTCTGTTATCTCTGACACTGACTTCACTAATACCTGAAGGATAAATCATCACAAAAAAGTAGGTCAAGACCAGTGAAAACTTGGGTTAGGGGGGTAAAGTCATTATGAATGTAGCACTTTATATACATACAGATATGAAGCAATGTTCTATATCTGTAAGACTGTTCTTTAAAACATTGCTGCTAGTGAGGCAGCCTACGGTCTGACCTCAAAGTCAAATCCAATCGTGTCAATTGAGGTGCCGAAGCGACGGGCATAATTTTGGAGGGTTCCGGTGAGAAAAGCCTGCGGGAAAAAGAAGCCGCTAATCCAGAACACAGGTGGAATGCCGTTAGAGATCCATCTCTGTAGGAAATTGATCCTCTGAAGCAGGTCTGACACCCAGGAGGCCAGAGGCTTCAGAGACGGGTAGGCCTGAAGAACGAGAACAGCGGAGTCAAACTGTGCATTCTCAGAAAGCACATTATTACATTTTGCTTTCTGAGGAGAACAGAAATATCTTTATTTGATTTTCTGCCCAGTGAAATGGCATTTCAAATATTCAAGTCACAAGTGTGCACAATCTAGTGATACAAAAATTTGAAGAAAAAAAAGGATAACAACAGAGAGAAAAAAAGAGAATACATTCACATGTGCAGCCCCTGCTACAAAGTGAGTCACATGTAAAGTAACAGCTGTGTGTGCCTTGCCTTGGCTTTCCACATATCAGGCACCGCATTGTTGAATAAGCTGCGGGCCATAAGCTCGAGTGCAGATGACATCACCACTGAACCTTTCAAAGCCTTCACAATATCTCTGAGACTCAGAGAGATGACCTCCAGCAGCTTGTTATATCTGAAAGATAAAAAACAAACAAACACAATTACAAGTTACTAAAGCATTAATAACCACATGCCCACAGTTTGAGTAAAACGCAATTTTCAGGGCATGACTTACCAGAAATCTACTAATATGTGTGAGGTAATGAGACACTCCCAGATCAGGTTGATTAATGTGCAAAAATTTCTTTTTGTGCATAGTTCCACAAAAACAGATAAGCATTCACCTTGCAGAGGAATGATGAAATGACCCCGTATGTTTCATTCCTCTTCAAATTTCTTCATGATAACAAAAAACCTTCACTTAATGGACAAAATATTTCTACTCTCTATATATACAAAAAAAAAAAAAAGTTTGCTGATCAATACGAATGACTCGGGAGATGCTAAGTCGGATTCTGGGACCTTCAGCCTCCAGACTCACTCTGGACAAATTTCTGACTAATAGTACAGCCTAATGTTACCTGATGACCTCCTGGATGAGCACAGTGTTCATGGACTCCTCGTAGAGCACCGGGTATTTTCCCATCACTTCTTCAATGTCAAAAGGAGGAGGGATCTTTTCAACGATGCCTGCCACTATCTCCTCCACTATCTGTAGCGAAGAAAGAAAAACAGATCATAGACAACACATCACATGCCCCGTACCTCTCAAACTCTATTTAATTACAAAGCAATCAATAACAATTAGTGCTAAATTGAATTATTAAGCAATCAATAACATGATGCTAGTAGTAATAATAAAGACATCTAAAGACAAATGAATCTGTATCTATACCTCCTCAAGAGTTTTGCCCTCAGCAGATGTAGCTCGGGGCTGGAGACGAACCACAGCTTCTAACAAGCCAAAGGCCTCATTCTGAGCAAAGCTGATGTTAGCGTTGTCATGGAGACCAAAGATCTCAGGTGTGTCATTGATGGGCAAACCACGAATGTATGCCAAATAACCCTAGGGTCACAATTGCCATGACAGCGAGTCAGTCAAGCAGTCAGTGTTTGACATGATCAGAGTTAACATTTTACAGCATTTTTAACAAAATGTCTTGATTGGACTGCATTTCTAGTCTAAGCTTAAATCACAAGCTTTCAGGCTTTTCTGCAATCTGTGTTACTGCAGGCAAATACTCACAGCCTCTCTTGTTATATTTCCTTGTTTGAGAATGGCAGCAAGAAGAGAGAAAACAGTTTCTATTGTTGTGAACTTGTTAAAGAACAAACTCACACAAAGGGAAACACACTGTGGCATTGCAGCACAGTAACTCATGTGATAGTTTAACTTCTCTGAGCTGTGGAAACTTTTGTTCTCTATGACTGATTTGTATTTGATGGCTGTGTGACTCATGGTGTTTTACATGACTGATGTTTCCCCCCAGGCTTGGCTAACTCAGCCTTACTTCCAAAAAATGCATATAGCATGACTCTTTTCTGTTTTTTAAAACAAACATATGCCCCTATTTAAGTTTGATAAGGCACACACTTGCCTTTTATACTTTGCTTGTCTCACAATCAATAGCCTGTTATAAACTCAAAATTATGTATAGTAAACAGAGAGTTCTGAGTTTATCTAACCTTGATATCCAGTTTTGTGTCTATTTGCCGGTAGACTCCAGATGCACAGTAGACGTGATCACTACTGAGGACAGCAGGACAATAGAAGTCCTCCACCACACTGAGCAGACATCGTCTGTCCCAGTCATCTGTCACACGGCCACCATAATTAATCTCTCCTGCAGTGTATTTTAGAACCTGGACAGGTGGAGGACAGCAATGGGAGACAGACAAATGAACATGCTCAGCACAGGCAGATGCACACACTTAATTTCTACCAAAAACCAGAACACAGGCGTCTTTCCTAGATGGCCTGTGTTTCTGCTTATAGCTTATACATCAACTATCTGTAAGAAACATTCTTATAACTGTAAGAAACAGTATGTATAAGTAGGAGCAATTTGAAACATCATCTTCAAATAGGTAATGAAACAGAGACAGAAGTGTTGCCTCCACCTTGTATGGGATGTCCTGGTACTCATCCAGGAACATTTTGAGCTGGCTGATACAAATGTTCAGGTCGCCATCAGTGAACTCATAGGGAATGTTGAAGCCCAAAGGGCCAAACTTTCGTCTCTCCAAAGCAATTCCATGGAACAGGCAGAGAGACAGCAGCAAAGACTTAAAGTCTGCTGTCTAGACAAGAAAGAAGAGTAGAGGAACCATTCATAGCAAATCTACACACTGGTTTGAGAAGACTTTACTATATGTTGTCAAACCAAAGCAGCAGGAGCTAAATATGGGAAACCAATCAGAGACACTAGAAGTACTTGAGACAGACCTTGGTGGAAGAGGAGAGAAAATCATTAGTGAGCCTCATGTAGGTTTTCTGTAGGTTGGCCTTGATGCCTCTTGGAGGTTCAATGGTCATCTTGGAACCATTCTGCAGAACAGACACCGGGAACTTATTGCTGGGAAGACTTGTGAGCCACAGGCGGAAGTTCTCATGCACCTGTACAGGAAAAGAGACAGATTTTTCCCTTGGAATATAAAGGATGAAAAAGCTCTGTGTCCTTGGCTAGTCTAGCATATACACACTGAGGATCTGTTTTGCTTCTGGTTTATATTTGTGTCCTCTTGTTGTCACCTTTAGTGGGTTGATGTTTTCAATAAGTCTCTCCAGGGTAGGCATCCAGCTGGGTGCCAGATGACAGTTCTGGAAAAAAACCCAGTGACCTCTTTCCATGGCATCGTGCATCATACTCTCAGCCCAGGGGCCCTGAATCACACAAATGACAGCATTTCTGATAGGTTTAATCATTATTGGAGAAGCTGGTCTCATAAATAATATTTTGACTGTGGGCCTCAGTGCATCTGCCTACAGCTGAAAGGTTTTGGACACTCAGTTGAAAGACAGAAATTGAGAAGGGGGATACAAAAAGCCTGACACGAGCCAAGATCACGTAATTGCAAGTAATGTGATGCTAATGTCTATTGAACGTCTAAAGTGTGCTGCTAGAAGAATGTTGCCAGCACGGTTTAAGGTTTTTGGACACTGAGTCTGCATTTATCATTCAAGCTTCTTAAGCTCATTTATGGCCCCTAGAGTACATTGTCCTGGAATGGTCATAAATAGTGAAAACAATTAGCACAGCGGTGCTCTCATTCTCATTC